AAAAAATTTTTGCGGGGAAAAAGATTTTCATGCAATGAAGAGCTGAAAGTTGCCGTTTCTGATTGGTTTCATGGACAAGAAGTTGACTTCTATTCCCAGGGAATAAAATCCTTGGAATCAAAGTGGAATAAGTGTGTTGAGTTAAAAGGTGACTGCATTGAAAAATAAAGTGTTATTTTTCCCCTCGAATGTTTCTTTCTTATTCAGGTAGATAACTTATTGAGTGACCCTCGTAGCTGACAATGAAGAGTTTAGAAAAAATTCAGCTTTTGTAGTGCATTCCCTCAGGGCATAACTTTTGAGTGGGTTGGCTTTTCCAAAGATATTTTTCCACCAGCGAAAAGGGCAAACGAATAAGGCTGACACTTGGTAGGCACGTAATTCTCTAAGTGCTGATTTCATTTAAAATTTTACTTCTTAAGTAAAACCCCTCAGGGCACATTTTTGCAAGAGGCCCATTTTCCCAAATCATTTTTAGTCCAACGAAACGGAGAGCGATAGAAAGGTGAAACTTGGCGTAGAAGTACCTTATGTAATGCTGAGTAAAGAATACGAGGTTGGTTCAAAAATGTTTGACCAAATAGAAGAGTCATTTGCAAGCAACAAAAATTTATACTTTTTCCACATAATCACTGCTGATATCAATACACTTTTGCCAGCTTTTCTGCAGTGCACTGAATCCCTGCAAATATGAGTATTGTGAACTGTCACCAAGCGCTGAATGGCTGCCACCGATTCTGCTGTGGTGCTGGTTTTAGGTTGTCCTGTGTTCATTAACTAGCTCCTGCCATGCAGAAATTCATGATGCCACCTCTCCACTGTGCGTCATGAAGGGGCTTCATCAAAGTATACAGCTTTCAATTTCTCCTGGATTTGGTTACCGTTCAGACCCTTTTTCGTGCGAAACTTCATCACCAACCTATTCATAGCTGTAATGAATATGCAAAGTGTTATATTCCAATGTTATTGGTAAAGAATCAAAATGTGTTATTTCTGCTGGAAGGGTTCTAGGAAGTCTATTAATGCAAAGAAACAAAATTTATTTTTCTAAACCATTTCTTTCACCATTTTGGTCAAAAATTTTTTAATCACCCTCCTAGATCCTGCTTTTGATCCATCCTTTTGCTTTTGATGCATCCCCTCGAAGCAGATTATGGGAGGGAAATTTTTCAAGATTTATTTTTCGCTTTGATAAATGGGAACATATAAATAAATCTGAAGTTAAGCACACAGGAAATCATTTGAGAAACGATTTCACTAATAATCTCGATTACATCCCCTATTGGCAGGTATTTCGACAGGGACGAGCTTTAAATAAGTTTTTGCCACTTAAAAAATTGAATTATTGAAAGCTGAAATTTGGTACAAAAGTGCTCCTCTCGACACTATAATAATTAATGTTTTTGCAGTGCTATACTATAATAATTGCGAGGTTTCTCCTGAAGGACTTTTCCCTTATGAGATTTCCAACCAAAGACATTTTCCTTGCAAGAAGTTTCAAAGGGGAAGAATAAATAACTGATATATGGTAAATGGAAAACTGAAATTCTGTTAGGAGCATTTTGAAAATATTATTGCATGGAAATTCCTGCTTTTTAGCTCTATTTCAACGCAGCAAAAACTTATTTATGCAGCACGTTTCCAAGAAATGTTTACCCTAAGCAATTCGAGTAGATATAGTTGGCTAAGAAACGATACAGATGTACCTCTGGGTGCATCTCTTTTAAGAAGCTAAAGATCTCCTTTTGTTAGTTTGCCAATGACCTCACATAACGGGAAGTAATTTGACACAGCAATAAATATGCCTATGACCCCAGGAATTTTACCAGATTGGTCAAAACAGATATTGCAAAGGAATTAATCATTATCCTAGATAATGGAGCGCCGAAGGCGCGACCATAACACCTGGAGACGGCGTCTCATCGTTATTACGATAAATTTGAAGAACTTCACATTTACTCTTAATGAATATCTTAAATGAATCTTTCTCTCCAACGGCTAAAAAGTTCAATACGAGGGGTTACACGTTTCCGCGCGGACTTCATTATATCTCGAACTCCCAGCCGGTTCGGACGTTCTCCCCCTCCTGTCTACATTACTAGAGGCTTCTCATTTTTTTTTTCGTAATTTTCCTGCAGGATGGAAGGGCGCAGGAGCCGTACGAGTGATGTCGTACCAGTTTCCCGCGGCGTTCGCGCGGCCTTGACTGTGAGAGAGTTTCGAACTGTCATTTGCTACAACTTTTGTCGTGGCCTGACAGCCATGGAATGCCTGAAGGAGCTGAAGGAGGTGTTTGGTGATTCTGCCCCAAAGAAAACGATGGTCTGCAAGTGGTATCAGCGTTTTTCAAGCGGCCACATGACGAGAGATGACGAACATCGTGAACCCAAGCCGAGGACGTCGAGAAAGGCAAGCAACGTCGAACGAGTGAGGGAGCTGGTGGATGAAGATGGACGTCTCACTGTCGCCAGGATTGCCATGGAGCTGAAGATCAACAGAGAAGCTGTTCGTCGCATCCTGAAAGAAGATCTCGGCTACAGCAAAAAATCAGCCAGGTGGATCCCCCGCCTTCTGACGGACGAGCAGAAGGCCATGCGTGCCACGTGGTGTGCTGAATTTTTGAAGCGTTTCAAGCATGGCAAGGCTCCTTCCTACCAGCTTCTGACCACTGGAGATGAAGCCTGGTTCTTCAACCTCGACCCTGAAACAAAGAAACAGTCCATGGTCTGGTCGATGAAGGGAGTGCCTGGTCGGGTGAAGGCCCGGCGCATCAGGTCGGTGAAGAAGACCATGTTCGCCATGTTCTTCAGCCAAAAAGGCATGATTGCTGCTGTCCCTCTGGAACCAAAGGAGACAGTGACAGCGGACTGGTATCGTGAGAAGTGCCTGCCAGAAGTTTTCGATGGGGTTCGTAGGTGTCACTCCATGGTGCCCTTCAAGAAGCAGTGGTTCCACCACGACAACGCCCCAGCCCACAAGGCGAAGTCCACCGTCCGTTGCCTGGAGGAATCGGGCCTGAACGTCTTGACCCCACCACCCTACTCCCCTGACCTGGCCCCCTGTGACTTTTGGCTCTTTCCAAAGCTGAAGGAGCCCTTGAGAGGCCGCCACTTCGAAACCAGGGATCAGCTTGTTGCTGCTGTTCTGGGGGAGCTTCAAAGTTTCACAACTGAGGATTTCAAGGCCTGTTTCGACACATGGATCAAAAGGGCTGAGAAGTGTGTGCAAATTGGCGGCGATTACATTGAGAAGGTGTCTGCCTAGCCTCTGGGAACCGCTGAACATGAGAAAAATGTTGAAAAAATCCCTGGTGTTCAGATCATTGCAAGTCCGCGCGGAAACGTGTAACCCCTCGTATATCTCTGGACTCTTGCTCTGTCCTTCCTCATTATCCGAAAGGTGTCAGACAACACTTGCCGCCCTCGCCCCCCAATTCCTCTAGAGTTTACATCTTGTCCGTATTTTCTTATACAGGTATTGCGAAATTGCATACGCATGTTATCCTGCTAATTGTAATGTCTTCACTGCAGGGGATCAGAAATGTTTTGAATGATTGCAAGCCCTCATGAGAAAACCGACGATGTTGAACCATTGCATAAAGCGTTGCAGACAATAAGGGGACGAATTTATCAACAATGAGTGGATTGCATGTTAGGTGCTGGGATGTTAACAGTTTCTTGGGGTACTTCCTCCAAAATTTTCACAGGAAAATCATTCAAGAGGCATCAATGCGGTCCTCATAACAGTCTCATACTGGAAAAAGGGTGGCTGTCATTCAAAGCACCAGCCAAATTGGGATTCCCTGTAGTCAAAAACATTCCAATGAGCATTATTATATTCGTACGCACCTTCGGAGCTACAGGGTGGATTTTTTTAAACATAGAGCTATCCGATGATATAGCTTTATTCCAGGGAAAATGCATGATATTTCCTGGCAATAAAGCAGCATTATCGGATAGTTCTCTGTTCAAAAATCCACCCCTAAGCTCTAAGAAAATTTCTAATACCTTTTAAGTATCCGTTTTTTGGCTCCACGTCATTTCCCTGCAAGTCACTTCTATGTCAGACAAATGACTGCCGACATTTCACTGCAGACAAGTTATTCGCATGCGTCAATTAACTATATGTCATTTCACTGTGATACCCTTTTCACTGCATCCACTTTCGTTGCACAAATCGTCCTGGAAATGATGAATATTGAAATAAAACAGGTTAATAATTGTCGCATAATAGGAAAACCCTCGGGAGAAAAATAGGGGGATTGTCAGAATAAGTTCAGAACTGAAGGTTATACGCGATACCGCGCAAATATGAAAGGACATCCCTTGACTGCCGCTGTTCAGCCAAGGTCAGGAGGCGATCATCAGCTGTCTTGTATTTTTTTTTCCGAGGCTGAGGATGGCCAGAGAGTGCCTGCACATCTCGGACCTCCTGGCGTCACTGCTCCTTAATCAAATACTTGAGAAACTTCCAAAGCGTTGGGTGTGTACATCTGAGACCACCTTGGAATACATTGTGCGAGGCTTCAAAGGTATTGTTCGTGCGAGGAAGACCTTGCACAATGCGGTCGTGAACGTTCCAAAAGCCGATGTCGAACATAGGGTTTGCTCGGCCTCTTCTACGAGAGCGTCCAACGTAGGTGTCCTCGAGGTAATTTGCTACTTAACACGCAGGAGTGACTGCACGGAACAAAGGATACAATGAAGAAACTGCAGGGAGAAACTATACCCGAAGCTCGAAACCACTGTCGTTCATACATGTCCTAGACTCGCCCTTGGGAATGAATGGAGAGCAGTGAGATGAGATAAGCAAAAGAAAACGGAAAAAGTCATGAAAAAGCCCCACGATGAAAAGGGTGCTACAGGAAAAGGGAAGGCAGTGAAAATATATATGCAGTGAAATGACGCACAGCAAAGTAACCACAGTGAAAATAATCCCAGTCAAATTGCATACAGAGAAGTGTCGTGCCACGCCGTTTTTTATCCTCACACTTACAATGTGGTAAAAACTCCTTGAGTCATAAACATTTTTCATTGTGGCATGAAATTACTTCTGATTGTGTGAGATCAAATTTCCCACTTTCAAAATTTGCCCGCTTCCATGGAACTACGAAAATTACATCAAAATACGTCCATCTCGGAAACTGTGCCCTTAGGGGATGAAACTGATAGTAAAAAATACCATGAAATCAGAGTATGGCGAACTACTTAAGTACTGAATTTTGCCTTTCTATATTTCCATTTTTCTCTGTGCGAAAAAATCAGAGAATTTCCTGCTTCCCAAAAGCTATGCCATGAGGGTATGAACATCGAAATCGAGTTTTCCTGAACTATGCATCTTAACAGCTAATTTTGTGCCAAATTTCACCTACTTCTGCTCGATACACTGCAGTAAAACAAATTCTTGCAAAACGTCTTTCCAAAAAAGGGACGTATCAGAAAAGTGAAAATTTACCTGAAATCAGCATATCAGTAGATACGTTCAATCTAATTTCAGTTTCCCATGTCCCTTCATTTGACGGGAGCTAAAATATTTATTTTAAAAGGCCCCCTTCAAAAAAGTACTATTTATTCTAAACTCAGCATCCTAATGGCTACTCATGTACCAAGTTTCAGGTTTCTACCATATCTAGAACATGGTTAGAATTAGTATCAGTCACTAAGTCACGATCGTCGATATATATTAGATGCAATTTCAATATTTAATAAATTATTGCCTAGGTGCAACATATAGAGAGGGTACCAAATATTGTCTGACACCCTGCATAAACTTTTTTTTGACGTCGGCATGTTGACTGTTCGACGCCTCCTAAAGCCATGTTGAGATTCCCGAATGAACGCGTTTCCTTCGAGGAAATCCAAGAGATGGTCCCTTAGTATGCTCTCCATGATCTTCCCTGGGATACTCTTGAGACTTACCGGCCTGTAATTTCCTGGATTACTCTTTTCGCCCTTCATGAAGATCGGTACTTATCGCTATTCAGGTGCGATATTATTGACTACTAGCTATGGTCGCGCCTTCGGCGCTCTATTATCTAGGATGAAATTAATTCATTCGAAAGATCCGTTTTTACCTATTTGGTAAAAGTCTGGAGGCCATACCATATTTATTGCCATTTCAAGTTACTTCCATTTATGTGACGTCATTGGCAAACTAAAAAACGAAGATCTTTAGCTCAATAAAATAGTCGTACCGAGAGGTAGTTCTCTAAGGGATTTTAGCTATCTGTAACCACTCCAATCGTTTTGGGGTGAACATTTATTGGAAACGTGCTGCAAAAGGAAATTTGTTACAGTGAAATATAATTTTAAATAGCAGGAATTTCATTTGAATAATGTTTTCTAGATATTCTTAACGGGATTTTATTTTTTCTGTATCATCCGTTTTACTGACAATAAATTTTATTGGAAACGTTTCCACAAAAGTATGGCCCAATTATGAGTATCTCGAAAGAAGAGTTCTTTTCCAGATATGCATCCAGACAGGTATCTTTTTGCCCAAGTTTCAATTTTTGTCTCTTCGTTTTGTGAGAGTGAAAATTTTCAGGAATATCTGCGTTAAAAAAAGGTACCTTAAGCAGAAAAATTCCTAATATCAGTTCCTCAAGAACTGCTGGATTACCAAACATCACTTATCTTTTTCTCCACTCTGAAGCTTCTTGCCGCGGATTTAAATTTGGTAGGAAATTCTACAAAGAAAAGCCCTTCAGTATAATCCTTACAACTAAAATCCTTCCTAACAGTGACGTGCCCAAAGGGGGGGGGTTGTTTATGGAAAGGAAATGTTTATGGGGTGACACAACATGAGTAGGTGATACCACGAACATTTCAGCAGAATTGGTCCTTTTTCAGGAAAATTTCGGAAAATGACCTACATATGTAACACCGAGAATACATTTTCTAAAGATGCCTTGCATAGAGTTTCATCCATAGTTGTGTAAAGTCGAGAACTTCTAGATCACCTGGTGCCACATCCAATGTGCGTAGATGGTTTCTTGAAAAATTGTTAATATTTATTGTTCGAGACGTTGTTGGTTCCATGTGGATAGCATGGGAGGTACAGTGGGGTTAATGAGCGACCCTACCTGGAAAGGGGTGCCATAACAGAAAGAATGAATAAAAGCGAATGATTTAATGCTGTAAGTAAATCTCTTGAGGCAGAATGACTTTACGAGATGTATGAATTAATTTCCCAGAACAGATCTATCGAGCATCTCAAATTAGGTGGATAACTTGAAGCGGAGCCTAGGAAGGTCTCCATTTACGGCGCGCATGGGATTTTTAAAATGTATTTCCACATGCATCCAGTCCAGCCAGATTCCTTATCATTTTTCCAACGACGCCATATTAATGGACTGAGATCCGGCAACATGCCAATGCACAAAAGACCTCCCCCTTCATCTTTATAACTCAGCCATAGACAATAACAGCTGATTGTCACCGTTTTTTCCTTCAAACACCAGCTGAGAAACTATTTCTTTACTGTTAGATTCATGAGCAATATGCCTAAATTTTACAATCAGACATTCTCTGCTCTCTCCACTTTTGATTCATGTCAAAACATTTTTTGGTAAATGCATGAGCAAAGAATACTAGACAATTTTCTCAGCTCGTTAAAAATTCCCTCCGAAAAGCAAACCGAATATGGGTTAAATGCCAAATGCCGTCCCACGAGCCTCCCACCATGAACATGAACTGACATTCTAAAGTACTAATTCTTTACTTCCTGTAACCGGTGGTCTCCCCAACAGCTGGTGCATTTTGTTACTCAAGCTGCTCTCTTCAGCACTGATACTCGCATCGAAGTGTATCGCATGGAAGTGTGTTCCCAGTCTACTTCCTACTGCAGCCGCCATCGTTATCCTTTTCCTCGTTTCTTCAATAATGCTGAACCATTGATAGGGCAAGATATACGCACCCCAGATTTCCTGACTGAAGCCGGGAAAATATTTTGGGAATGATACATTGTTCTCAAGTACAGTTTCCTTTATTTTAATGAAAATCTGAATGATATCCCGTCCAATAAATTTGGTTAGAAGCATCAGGTAGAAACCTATACTACATGTTTGGGACCATGATTAAACCAAGTCACCATTGCTTGGACAAGGCTCCAGCGTTGGAACCAGAATGACGCCAGGTGAAAAAGAGTAAGTGAAATTGGCTTATCGAAGTGGAAGCGGCGAAGTAATTTTGCTGCCCTGGCTTTAGATAACGCCGCCGGTGTAAAGAAGACGCATGGTTGACTCGTTCCATCTTTGATCATGCGCCCTTTATTAGATTTATTCAATGTAGAGATATTTCCAAATTTCGTACCTTTTCTGATACCACATATATTATTGCATATTTTTTTGGACAGGCTTTCTACCTCCCAACGGCGCTGCTGGGTGTCCCACCGAGTCACATTCTAGTCCATACCCAAATGAACCTTATGTACCAGTTCTGGATTCATACAGAGACTATTTCATCTCTGGGACTTCTCGAGTACATCATCAACACCCCATCGCATCATCGAGTCCATCACGGTTTCAGTTCAATTATATTGTCAAAGCTGGGAAAGGAAAAAAAGAGCTTTCTCTGAGGTTTAATATTTACAGGATGCAACCGGTACTGCATAGATAAAAACTATGCAGGAGTACTCATCATCTGGGATAGAATTTTTGGGACATTTGAACCCGAAGGCGAACAAGTTGTCTATGGCCTCACCCACGCAGTCAGCACTTTCAATCCCATCAAACTCCAAGTTAGCCTTTTTCATGCTGCTAATAGTCAAGTCGAAGTCCATCTCTAATAAATGGATTCTCTCGGAATTAGTTTCAACACTTCCAGAACATCTGGAAATCCCTGTGGGAGATGAAGAGCTGGGGGGACCGACTGAAAGTCCTTTTCTATGGTCCAGGCTGGGAACCTGGACAACCCAGGATTTACCCCAAGGATCTCGTGCCTGACGTCAGTCTCGAAGTTGATGATTTCTTGAAATTAGAAAAAAAAGGATAAATTTGAGATGTAAAAGCTGTTATTCAGCAGTTACATACATTAAATGTTTGAGAGTCAATAAGTAATTACTTTTTCACGACGACAGTGCATGTGAATGCAATTTCATCCGAGAATTTGACGCAGAGTATGGTCAATTACAGCTTTTCAAATGCAGAGGATGCGTCTTCTGGCTTGCTTCAGGTTTGGCAATAGTAAGACTTGTTTTGTGCAACCGTCAACAATCATGAAAATTTCAGAAAAAGTTCGATGTTCGGCGCTGTTGTTTCTGCAGAAAGATGGTGTTAATGGTGTTGAAACTTTGAATATTTGCCGTGTTTGTAGGAAAAGTGCACTGAGCTGTGAAGCTGCCCACAATTGGTTTGCCAACTTTAACGAAAATGTTGACACCCAATATAAACAGATCATCCACATGGAGATCAACGAGTTTCAGCCATAGGGACAGGCGATTGGCGTGTACACGCCCATTAACCGTTTTAATGGCCTCAGGATCTACAATATCATTGACAAATTGGGTTCTCCGAAACGTGGCAGTTATTTGGATGACTGAAGGCCACTAATTAAAGGTGAAAACATATTAAAGATTATTTTACAGTTTGGTGCACATTCACAGGAAAAATCAAAAGCACATTGGCATACACATATTTCTGCAAAAACCACATGTCCATTTCTGTCATTTGTGTCTCTGATGGCTCTGATTTGCGATGCACATGTGATTGTGGTTGTGCAAAACTCAACTCATATCCTGCCTTCTTAAAATAACAAGAGAAGTCAGACAAGCATATTCACAGATTTCTCACATGGTGTTTGACCTCACTATGTGAGAAATTTCCAAGCCAGATGGGCTTTTACACTTAAGAAGTGTAAAAAAAAGTTGATACACTTTTGAGAATCCCAAGTTCGGCCCTACATATACTTTAATATCTTTTCATACTTTGCATATTCAAAATAACATTCATGATTATGAACTGACATGTATATATCTTCATGGTCGCATCTTTGGATTCCATTCAATCCTGCGATCAATACCAACTGCATAGGAAATATATTTTTCTGAAAAGAAGTTATTCACATTCCATTCTTCCTGTGTAGCACAAGGCTCCAATGAAGAAATATCGGCCAAAGAGTCCCAGGCATGTTCAGGTCTACGCCGCCATGCAGTTTCTATTTGGTGTCATGATATATGCCCAGTTCATGACCATCCACAAGGTAAGTATCAAACCCTATTCCTTTTGTGAAGTGTCTTTAATTGAACAGGGACACAATTCTATTCCTCAGGCTTGGCATTTCCATCAAGCGCTCCTGTTTCTTGGCTACATGGGTCTCTCGATGCTCAGCCTTGGGATGATGCTAGAGAACGACACACGGGGACCTCGAATTGAACTCCTCCGTTGCGTTCTTTTCTTTTTCATTACTCCCGTGTTCCCTTTTATGGATGCTTGGCCCTTAATGCTAATCATTTGGGTCTCAGGTTTCTACATGATCATCTGGAGACTTACCAATAAGCAAAAGCAGTCGTGATGTGCACGCATTAAATATCTTGTGAAAATGCATTGAGATATGCCATCACCAAGAGATAGTATATATATAAGAGGAACACATGACACTGTATGAGCTGATTTTGCACAACCATGTCCTCTTCAACACTTGTGGCAGACCATATCTTAAGAATTCATCCCTCGTTATGATCTTGAAATATTGTGAATATATTCAAATATTTGGCATCGATATTATTGTCGTTTGATTCCCCACAAGCGTTTTCATCAAGAAATAGGGTGTTACTATTCTGTAGCAGGAAGTGAGCATGGCCATTTTCATTCTCAAAGTAAATCAGTTCAATTATGACAATGTCTAGACTCTAGAATGAACTGAAAGTAGAGATGAAGTGGTCACTTAGCAACAGGATCCTGCTCCTTCAAACCAAGAGAGATGAGATGTAAGTGCTTGGAGGACCTTTCGAGACAACTGCATCTGCCCACTCGAGGCGGCCTCCTCAAAAATTCTCAGAAGACCCTTCCCCATCTAATGTGCAGGGTGGCGCACAAAAATATTTCACATTTCATTAACCTGTGTTTCCATTATTTATTATGGCAGAAAATTGAGTTACATGTCATCTGATAAGCAAACTCAAAACGTTTTTGAGACATGTTCAAAGTCTTCACCGTTCTCATGGATAATGTATCTGTAACGTACAGCAGTGTTTTAAATAACCCTGTTCAGTGTTTCTTGTGCCTCTGAACCCTGTAACCATAAAACGTTTGAGTTCACCAATGGTGTGTGGATTTGTAGAGAGCACCTCTTCTTTAAGGAAACCCCATTTAAAAAAAGTGGCGGTCTGGAGATGATGCTACAGGATGTCCCCTGTCATTCTGATAACGTTTTCTCTTAACTTATTGACGATATTCTTAATGGCTGGATTTGATGTTTTATCAGGAAACCATCGTCTACCGTACATTCTCTCTCCACAGTAACAGGTGAATGCATTTTCAATAAATTCATGCACGATGAACATCCTTAGCTCTGTTCTTTTTTCACGTTAAAACACCTCGATCAATTCCAGCGAATAAGAAGATCGTTGATAAGTTTGAAGAGAAAGATGTATGAGTTTAAGAAGCGACATCTCGCGGCCAGCAACATATCCTGATCTTATACCGCCTTTTTTTAAAATGGGGTTTCCTTAAAGGTACTCTCCACAAATCCACACAACATTGATGAACTCAAACGTTTTGTGGTTACAGGGTACAGAGGCGCAAGAAACACTGAACAAGGTTATTTAAAACAATGATGTACGTAGGCACACAAGAAACAATCGGAGTAATTATTTCGATAAAATTATCGGTTCGTTCTCTCTCGATACACATTTCGAGAGGTACATGCTTTTCATACGTTTTTGTCACTTTGAAAATAAACAAATGAATGAATCACTATATTTGACAATGAAGCGCCGAAGGCGCGACCATAGTGAGTTTGTTATAGCATTCGTAGTCGAATTCCTTCCAAGATGCGAAACTTCGCGGCCGTTCGACTCTAACCGCACCTAAGCTCGTGTTACTACGACACTCGAACATTGGTGGTCGAGTTATTCTTCATACTGTAGACTAGAGAATGGCTGCTAAAATCGACCGTCAAACGCTTTCATCTTTTGCATGGTAGCGATAAAATTTTTCTTTGAAACTCTGTGAACCAGTAATAATGTGTTGCTTTCAAGAATGTTAAACTTCTAATTCGTGATGCTTAGACACATGATACATTATGTCTGGATGAAAAGCAACCTCAAGGGCGCCAAGGAATAGAGGAAAAGAATGCCACCTTCTGGCAAAAAAGCCAGAAAAGAGGTCCTGATCTTATACCGAGAAAAGAGGTCGCCAGTCCCAGTACACGTATGAAGTCGTCCGTCAAGCTGCAGGAGCAGTCCGGGGAGGTATGGGGCATAGAACGGCAAGTACGAGAGTTGACGTGCCAAAATCAACTGTTCGTGTGAATGGATGACTCACACGCTTCAAGAGTGTCAAGAAAACCCCTTCTCCATGAGAAGGAAGAAAACTTGTTCAAAGATTCCATTCTATCCATGGCTGTCAGAGGGAGAGATTTTTCTGTCCTCTGGTTGGAGTATCTCGAATTCGGGTTGGGAAAAGAGAGAGTATAGTCTAAAAACAAATTGCTGGAATTTAACCATTTCAGTCCTGGCGGGACTCAGAAGTTACCACATTTTTAAATATATTTTATCGAAGGACTATATATAGGAATGCGCGACCTTGAGGCCTAGCGAGACTTCTAAGTCCCTGTGACCTCTTTTGGAATATGTATTTTATTGGTCGATGACATTTCATTGCGGATGGTAGAATGAAGAAAATTTGTTATTAAGTCACTTATATTTCTTTGTCAAGACTGAAAGGGCCGAGCAAGCCAAGCGGGCTAGCAAGCTCTGCATTTTTTTCCCCCTTATATCTTCCCCTTCCAATCGATCGTGTTGAAGTTTGACCTCGTGCCTCACTCGTTCTTCAAGTGCAACCGCATTCTCTACAGGTTGAAGTTAATCCGTCATAAATTCACTGTAAAAATCATTTGTGTCGAAAAGTTCCCATCCTAGGCATGGATATCGAAATAACGAGAAAACTGATTTAACATGGAGAATTTAAACACATGCTCGCTCGGCCCGCCCGCTCATCTCTAATGTGTAACACTCAGATCTGGAAAATAATATCATTTTTTGGTATCCATCATGATCTTTCATAGAATAATGAATTCGAGTTTTTCTTTCAAGATTCTGCGTTTTTATTAAGAGTCAACAAGAGTATGAAGATATGCAGGATCCAGGGGCAGAGGTGCAAAAGGCAATTATGCAGTAGCCTCTTTATAGAGTTCGACTCAAGACGCACGAGTATTTTACATCGACTAGACGTCACTCCATCTGACGTGAAGTACATGATAGCAAGTTTATGAAAAATTAACACCACACTTTCCATATGAAACTTCAGCTGACCATCCTGCAGTTGCAGTACCAAGATTCCTCACTAGTTGGAACCCTTGTTCCCTGCATCCTACAATTACTATTAAGTACTGGTTTTCCTGACATAATATCAGGTTTTCTTACCATCCTTCTACATTTTATTATACAATCCATGAATATATATATGGAAAACATGAAATTATTATATATTTTTTAAATAATATATGACTCAGGGAATCATTAAATACTGAAGTTAAGCTTCTTATTACAGCAGTGCACGAGATTAGGGAAGAGTAGAATCCCAGCCCCACAAGTACTACATCTCTTTCCTAAAAGGATGAGAGCTTCTTTGAACATCTACTTTCCCTCCCGAGGATTCCGGTACGGGGGGAGGAAGCAGTAGGTCACGTTGGTACTATTGAGTGCTGGTGAGGATGTGTACTCGTCCAACCACCCTAGAGTTCTGAAGAACGTAAAGGAGTAGGAGATTCAGTATATCATTTCTCTTCAGTGGTACTGATTGACTCGTACTGATTGACTAAATACGCATGAATGCCAGGCGAAAATTAACATGAATATTACGTAAAATGAATGTAAACATGCTGTTTGGAATGCAAACGGGAATGTCAATTTTACGTAAAATTTTCGTTATTTTTATATCACCGTTTACATATTAGCAAACGGGAATGTCAATTTTACGTAAAATTTACGTTAATTTTATATCACCGTTTACATATTACAGAGGTGACATTTCTGCAAACATGTTGACTTTTTTGACAATGGTTTGCATAAAAATGATATAAATTGGACAAAAAATTTACATTCAGTTTACGTAAAATTTACATAAATATGCTGTTTGGGCCCCTCTCTTCGCCTCGCCTCCCAATGCCATGCCGAAACCCGTTCCAGTTTCGTCATTTTACCCAATGTATTTTTTTTTCAGCTTTACACTTTTTCAAAGTACCCATGAAGGCAAAATAAGAAAGACTGCGTTGGAGAGGCGGCTTGAACAGAGTCGTGACCGAAATACCCTTTTCTTTTAGTTGGGCAAACTATGGTAGATCCTAATGTTGTTCAACAAATACCTGTGATAAATCCTGGTAATCAGCAAATTCCTGCAATATAGCCTATTCAAAGGCCACAACAGGTTCATGAGCCAGAGGATGAAGATAATGTACAGGGTGTACTTACATTCTGGTAACAATTTTGGAAATTTCTTTCGAAACACCAGGTGGTCGTAAAATATTCAAATAATGCAAATGCATAACTTGTATATCAAAGTCTTTTTTTTGCATGGCGTCTCTGTCGTTCATGCTGCAGCCGCAGCTTCGTTAGGTGCAATAGTGATCGCAATGGCGGCTCCCATTAGGAAGGCACTATGTGTTCTCTGGTTCGTAGTGTTACAGTCTACGACTGCATTGCAGCGACGATTTAGTACAGAGTATCACAAGAATCCACCAACCATGTAGATTCTCCTTCCTGTTTGGTGGATTCTCGCTCAAAAACACTAGTGTTCAATGTTCTATGATAAGCAAGCACATAGGGGAAATATCTAGGTGTTTTTCTATGCATAGGTTATGCTTTTTCAATATCGTTCCCCCTGGTGACACGACAACTATCAAAACATCAGATGATCTCCCAAGCCCTCTCCCGCATTTCGGTGGTGACCGTGTAGAACACGCAATGCGTGTTCGGAGTTCTGGGACGTCTCTTGGAAGTGGGGAGCGTAGACGATGTCTTTCATGCATCCCCACTGGAAAAAATCTCAGGGAATCAGGTCAACCGATCTGACAGCCATAAAATTTTTCCTCTGAGGAAATTCACGAATTTCATTTGACATGTCATCCTTCAAGCTCGTCGTCATACAAATTGTATTTGTTATGTCATGCTTCTGGCTCGTCATGCACATATTATTTGTCATGTCATCCTGCGTGGTGGATTCTGGAGATATTCTGTACAGAATCGTCGCTGCACTGCAGTTGCAGACTGTAAGACCGCAAACCAGAGATTACATCGTGCCTTCCTAATCGGACTCGACACTTCGTAAATTTTGAGAGAGAGAGATCACCTG